TTGGGGGTTTTTGTATTTATTTTTGTTTTTGAGACATGGTCTCACTCTATCGCCCAGGCTGGAGTACAGTGGCTAAATCACCACTCACTGCAACCTCTGCCTCCCAGCCTCAAGCGGTCTTCCTGTCTCAGCCTCCCAAGGTGCTGGGACTACAGGTGTACACCACCACGCCTGGCTAATTTTTGTGTTTTTTGCAGTGCTGGGGTTTTGCCATGTTGCCCAGACTGGTTCTGAACTCCTAGGCTCAAGCAATCTGCCTGCCTCGGCCTCCCAAAGTGCAGGAATTACAGGCATGAGCCACTGTGCCTAGCCAATACTATTTTTGTACATGCTTCCAGAGGTTTTTTTAAAAATATGCAAGTAAATAAGTATGTATGTAATTACACACATGCACACACACATATCTATTCTCTTCCAGCTCCCCCATTTTATATGTGTGGCAACATTTTGAACACATTATTCTACAATTTGCTTTTATCATTTATTTATCTTAAAGACCTTTCCAGTATCTGTACATAAAGGAGTGGTTATTTATTTATTTATATATTTATTTAGAGATGGAGTCTCGTTTAGTTGCCCAGGTTCGAGTGCAGTGGTGGGATCTCAGCTCATTGCAACCTCTGCCTCCCAGGTTTGAGCGATTCTCCTGCCTCAGCCTCCCGAGCAGTTGGGACTACAGGCGCACGCCACCACACCCAGCTAATTTTTGTATTTTTAGTAGAGATGGGCTTTCACCATATTGGCTAGGCTGGTCTCGAACTCCTGACCTCATGATCCACCTGTCTCTGCCTCCCAAAGTGCTGGGATTACAGGCGTGTGCCACCATGCCCGGCCCCTTATTTCTTTTTACAGCTGCATAATTTACTTAATAAGTCTCGCTTCTTTTCTTTTTTGAAACAGGATCTCACTCTGTTGCCCAGGCTAGGGTGCAGTTGCGTGACCACAGCTCACTACAGCCTCAACCCCTCAGACTTAAGCCATCATCTCACCTCAGCCTCCTGAGTAGCTGGGATTACAGGCACTTGCCACAATGCCCAGCTAATTAAGAAAATTTTTCTTATAGAGTCAGGATATAGCTTATTGTCAGGGCTGCTCTTGAACCCCTTGGCTCAAGTGATCCTCCTATCTTGGCCTCAAAGTTCTGGGATTACAGGTGTCAGCCACTGCACCCAGCCATAAGTCCCTCTCTTTATGGGGGGGGACTAGGTTAGATTATTTTCGGTTGAGGTGCTTTCTTCTTTCTGATGTATGTTGTATTAAATATTTTTTCCCAGGCTTCATTTTAACTTTTTTTCTTTTTTTCTTGAGATGGAGTCTTACCCTGTCGCCCAGGCTGGAGTGCAATGGCGCCATCTCGGTTCACTGCAACCTCT